CGTATGGAATTTCCTGGAGGATATAAATCCAACGCGAGCTCTATGTCAAAAGACAGAGCAAAATTATTAATAATTAAACATTATCAAACACTTAATATCCTATAGGATTTTAAATTTTTGATATTCTTTAATATATATATATATATATATATATATATATATATATATACACTATAATTAAAAAATTTGAAGCAATCCCCAGATGAAATAATGCTAAAATACGTACACATATATTTTTGTTAGTACACCTTTTGTACTTTTTGTAAATGTGGTCATATTCATACGTATCCATATACGCTGCAGTTTAAAAGTTTGAAGCGAACCCCTGAATTAACATCGGATGAACTTTACAGAGGACTGAAAAAAAAAAAAAAAAAAATGAAAAAAAGCTCTTCGAGTCATTAAAAAAAAGAAGAATGCAATCAATTATGAAACTTTTGCAACGAATACCAAAAATGTTTGCTGCAGTAATCAAAGCTAAAGAAGGATATTTTGACGAGGGCAAAATCGAATCATAAAATGCTTTTTTCTTTTTTGTTATAAAACTTTAAATAAAAAAAAAAATCATGTCTGCCTTTTTTAAACCATGTAATAATAAAATATTTTTTCATAACAGATTTAATGTTTAGTATAGAGTTTAGAAAAAATTCGCAGTGTGAGATAGTCAAGAAGTAAGGCATGTAGCAACATCAGCACGGCAAAGGGCACTTCTTTAAAGGCAAGGAAGGGCAAAAATATTTTAAGTCAAGTGATAGCGATTGCTGTATGAGTCGTTTTAATCAAGCACTGGCAACGCCAGGCCATGCTGCTAGTCTATCAATAAAATTCCGTGACTTCCATAGGTCTGTCCGGCAAACCCTCTAAAGTAGCCATACATTGACCGATCGAGTCCAAATTTTGGGGGAGAAGTGCAAACAGATAAGGGGGTACAAAGTACATTTGCTTTTACTAGGATGCGTAGCTTAGTACAATACATTTTCATCAATTTTTTGGAAAAATTAAAAGTTTTATTATTTAACATACAAAATACTCCCACTATTTTAAAAACAAAAGTTATTTAATAAAAATGCAATATTGTTTTTTGAATATCTTTCCTTTGAGTTTTTATATATACAAGAATCCAGTTTCCAGTTCACTCTGGGTTTGCGAGAAGTATAAATAAATTACAAGGCCAAACGCTTCAAAAAGTTGGAATTTGACTCCAGAAAGAAATATTTACGCATGGCCAGTTGTGCTGTTGCATGCTCAAGAGTAAGAATTTATTCTTCGCTGTTAAAAAGGAAATTTTCTTAAAAAAATATTGTTTACCATTAAATTAAATTAAAGAAAGCATTAAACCGCGAAGTAGAGATTTTGTCAAAGTATTTTCCAAAGCAAATCGGCTTATTATTCAAATTTCATCGATTGGTTTGCAAAATTGAACGAAACATAGTTCGTAAACCTCGGCAAAAAAATGTTAGCGATAACTTCGTTAGCGTGTTGCCAAAAATATCGCTTTATTCAAAATAGACGAACATTAGGAAGGTCGTAGTTAGAGAGAGTATAGAAGGAAGAGGTTTATCAAATACTCAGGACGAAAAAAAAAAAACTTGAGTAAATTAACTACTTCTCAAATAATATTTATTTCTGTAAAACAGAAAATGTGGCACAAAGCCAAAAAAGGTCATGGGGAAGGATTGTAATCAATCTGTTTTATCTTAAACTTAATTGACAACAATGACTGACCCAAACAAACTATGTATTATTAAATTCTTGCTACAGCTACCATAATGCCTCCATGTCTCTATTTCTTTAAGTATGGAGCATGCAGTGTGAAACGAACTTACTACTGAGTGTTAATTGTTCTAGCGAGACAAGTTTGCGAACCATTACATCACGTCGAAGTTCTCTTCAGCGCCTACACAAATCCTACTCTAATGTGGCTACTTAGTATATTTCTAAGTAGGAGCAGTCCATTGTCACAGTGGAAGGGAAGAGAAGGAAGTACGTTGTCCTACTCTACACCAACACCACCATCAGCATTTCCTGTGTTCACCAAAATCATGTTTAAGTCTAAGCATCAGTAGGTGAGAATAAACACACACAAATTACAAATCGAAATATTTTCAGTCAGTTATTTGCTATGCGTGATACACGCTTAGGCGATCATGTATCTTTCGATACATGACTGACGAGGCAGATTTTTTCCCCACAGTAAGTTGCCATTTCTTTCTGCAGTGGACCAGTTGCTATCCAAGGCTATAGAAACCACTCTGTCCTACTATTTACCCATAGCTGGGGGGTGGAGAAAGAAGAGGGTTCATACCTTTCCCAAGGTTATTAGCACGTAAGTGAATTTAATGGATTCGAATTGAAATTCGAACTCGGCTCTCCGATTCCACAATCCGGATACTAGTGTTTGAGAGGGCTCAAAAACAGCTGATTTAATATCTAACGCCACCAAACAATAGAGGCAAGTCCGTTTGACGATAAAGAATACATGAAGTGACTCTCATACAAATTAGTACCGGTTTACTGATAGAACCGGATTACTGAGTGTTGAATTGGTGATCGTTAACCTTTAAGCGTTATTTGTTAGAGATAACATTGTAATGTTATAGCTAAAAATATCGTACGCATCTAAGTTTTCGCTATAGATAAAGATATTTTATATAAATAAACCATGGAATGAATAGCAATATTTGAGAGATGGATCATGTTAACTCTCAATTATAAATTTAATTTGCGCATGCGTACTTAAAAAAATCCAGTTGCTGTCTAACGGCAAAGAGAAAAATATGATTTAGAATATTAAAATCGATAGCCTATCAGAATAATTACTTTATCAAATCAGCACGTGAGTAAAGAGTATGTTTGTTAAAATATCGATCTGTCTCAAACTTCTCATATTTCTTTGACTGAAGCAAAAATACTATAGCATTCAGAAAAATGGCGAATAATTGAGTAAATATGAATAAAATTGATACGATTAATCTCTCAACCAATGAATATTTTACTTCGAGTCAATAGAATGTTGGCTGAAATTTTCAACATTTATCAGGAAAGTCTATTGGTTTTGAAAAAAATGTCTAGCAGACATCAGACCAGCGGGTGACCTCTTGGGAATACCGTGTGCGTTAAACTTGGAAGTGCGGGTGGTGCAATGCATCATGGCTCGGAATTTGAAGTCGGAGAGCCGAGTTTCAATTCGTGTAGGGTTTGGTATAGTCACTTATACGCAACTACTCTTGTCAAAGCTATGAATACATCTCTTCTACTCCCAGATATGGGTTAATTAGTAAAACTTGTATTCGCAAACCATTATTATCTACAAACAATTTTCACAGTCTAAAAATATTTTCTGGCTTTAAACAACATGAAAAAGTTTTATAAGCCGTAAAAACAACAAAAAAAAAAAACAAAACAAAACAAAAACAGTATCTACGCAGATTTCAGATCAATGGGTGCTCCCTTGAGAATAACAGTAAGTAACTGTTATCTTGGATGTGAGGATGGTGCAATAAATAACGACTCAGAATTTGAAGTTGGGTAGCCGAGTTCCAATTCCGGTTGGGTTCGTTATATTCGCTTAAGCGCAAATAATCTTGTGAAAGGTATGGATACACCTCTTCTGTCCCCACCAGCTAGAGGTTAATTAGTAAGATTTGTATGAGTAATTCATTATTATCTCTAAACAATTCTCAACAAAATAAAAGTATATTATGGTATGAGTCGTAAAAGAAAAAAAATCAATCAAATCAGATCAATGATTTTATTTGGCATATACATAACCATCCACAAGTTATTTCGTTAGGAATATTCTTCTAGATGAATCTCCTTTTGCTTTTAGAAACGTCTCAATTCTTCTTGGCATAGATTCAACGATGACCTGGAAGCACTCTTTCGAAATTTCGGTCCCTGATGTTATAGCATCTTGAAATTCTTCTAGATTAGTTGGCAGAACAAATACGATATAAATTTCCTTTTCAAACATAATCCAAACATGTTCTATATGTCGTGCCTCTTCTGGACACCCAGCAACACATCCAGTAACCTAAACCGTTGATAAAAGTCATGATAGATCCAAAAGTTCATGTTATCTGCATGGAATTCTGGGACTTCCATCTGAATGTTGCAGCAGAAATCGAGAATCATCAGACCAGGCAAAGTTTTTGCCCAATTTTTTGTGATTTCTAGCGAATTGTAGCCTCATTTTTTTTTTGTTTTAATCTTACAGAAGTGGACCATTATATTGATAGGATGGCTCGCCAAGGATGTCCGTCTACTAGAGTGGCTAGCCAATCCGTGTTGAAGACGCTTGCTCGGGCACATTTATGTTTGTTCAACACCCACAGTGGCCAACTATGGGTCATATTGCGATTATGCTGAGTTACAGTTTCTGGGAAAGAGCGTTTTCTAGTGTGATCAACAGTCTGAACGAGGCCAGCACGCTCAAATCTTCGGTCACGCTGACTTGTGACTAGCACAACTATCGACGGCTCCAAAGGGTTCCGTCTCTCATATTTCCCTCATTTTGGGTCAAGATGTGTTATGGTTTTCAGGCACTTTCCAAAGATGCAGCAGGCTGAAATATCCTCCTCCAAACCGATAAAATAAAAAAGCCATTTTCTTGAAAAATCAACCACGGTGAAATTCGAGCTCGGGTTAATGGTCAGAAAACGAACGTTCTAAACAATCGGACCATGTGCTCTTCTCTATATACACCCATTGTAAACTGTGTGAGTTTGACCTTCTGTTACCTTTCTATCAGCTCGAATTAGCCTGGCTATTCTCTTCTGACTTCCTTCATCAACAAGAGATTTGCCTTCCACAGAAATGCTTTTCACTGAACTAGTTTTAATGAACTTCTAATCCTTATCTGTAAACGCTATAGACAATTAAACGTGAAAATTCAAGTTGATCAGCAATTGGGGAAAAACTCAGATCAAAGTCGGCAACACAACTGGCTCTCCGATTTTCAATTCCGAGCCGCTATCCAGCACACCAACCACACATCTAAGCTTACATCGCCTGCAATTTCCAAGCGGTCACCCATATACGTACTGACCAGGCTCGGCGTTGCTTAACTTTGGTGATCATACGAGAACAAGTGTTTCAACGTGATATGACCGTAAGCTCTTCCTCTTCAATAACACACACGCACACAGACACATAAACACACATATATATATATATATATATATATTTGAATATACATTATTGAATATAACAATGAATGTCTGTTATGCCTGATCATGATCAATTTTTGTCTTTATTTTCACTAGAAATTAAAGCAAACATTCTTACATCAAAACGGCTCATGATCAGACATAATAGAATTGTCCATTATATTTAATATCTTTAAATAATGATCTGCTGCCCCAATACACTATATATATATATATATATATATATATATATATATATATATATATATATATATATATATATATATGTGTGTGTGTGTGTGTGTGTGTAAGCAAATATATGGATATAGATCCGACAGTATGAAGAAAAATATATACGGAAAAAAAATCCTTATATACAATTATGCTGTTTTAATGTTAATATGTCAACGTCTGACGTTTCGGTCTAATAAACCATCTTCAGGACATATTCATAAATATAACATTATCAATAGAACATGACAAAGACGATGTACATAAGAACAAGACTTATCCAAGCAATAACTGAAAGTTTTATATTAAGTTTTCATATAAAACTTTCAGTTATTGTTTGGATAAGTCTTGTTCTTATGTACATCGTCTTTGTCATGTTGAATTGATAATGTTAATTATATTTTCACCTTTGCTTCAACCCCTCTCTCTCTCTTTCTCCCCCTCTCTCTCTCTCTCTCTATATATATATATATATATATATATATATATATACGTTCTTACTAATAATGTTCTTATTAACATCAAGTTATCAGATGACACAGTGCTGATAGCAGACACAGAAAGGAAACTACAATATCTCCTATAGGTGGTAGAGAAGGAAAGTGAGAAGAAAGGAAAACTAAACTACAAGAAGACAGAATACATGGTTATTCGTAAAAGGATGAGTCTACGATGCAAATTACAATTCGGGGATACTAAAATCAAGCAGATACAAAAACTTAAATATCTCGGAAGTGTTCTAGCAGAGGACGGAAAGTGCGACACTGAGATCCGAAGACATATTGAGATGGCAAAAGATGCATTCCAAATGCTAAGCAGAAGATTAAGAGTCATACAAATTTCGTTGGAAACAAAGAAAAGAGTACTGAAGTGTTACGTGATATCTGTATCGCAGCGAATTCTGGGTAATCTCCTCAAAGTTGAAGAAGAAACTTGAAGCAACAGAAATATGGTTTTACACAAAGACCCTAAGGCTAAAGACCCTAAGGCTAAAGACCCTAAGGATATCATAGGCCGAACATGTCAGCACAACAAGGTTTTGGAGAGAATGGAAACAAAGATGAAATTCATACTTAACATCAGGAAGAGGCAGTTGAAATTTCTGGGGCACGTAATGAGGAAGGAGGGCTTGGAAAATCTAATACTCACGGGGCAGATAGAGGGAAAGAGGCACAGATGAAAGTATTGCATAACATACTTGATGAAATTGAGAAAATGGATGACAGAAAACGAGTTTTGGAGAAATAACAAAAGGACAAAACCTATTAAGAGCTACAAGAGGAAGATGTGGTGGGCCATGATAACCTACGTCCTGAAGGGACATGACATAAAAGAAGAAAGACCCTTTATACAGGGTACGATGGAAATTCCTCCCATATGTACCTCCCAGATATACCTCTTACATAATGGTTAGACATTGCAACTAATGTCTTACCATTATGTGGAAGGAATTTCTGGGATGAATATATGGGAGGTATTTCTGCCGCACCATGTACAATTAGAATTCAGGTGAAATGGAAAACTCTCTGGTATTAAATTTAAAGCCGCGTAAAAGAGAAACAATATAAGAATTTTTCTCATTTGTTAAAAATTACACGAACTGTTTAGAGAGAGAGAAATTCAACTAATTATTGGAATTTCATGCAATTTTCTCTCATTGCATCAATTTATTTATTAAACGATTTTCTAGAAAAAATATTTAAATGTAAACTGCCAGCGTTTATAAAATGTTAATAAAATACTGCTGGATTGTAAAGTTTTAAAAAATTCTCATGAGTGTTTTGTGTTTAAATCGGAAAATCTATAAGTGAAAAAAAAAATTCTTTTTCTTGGCAATATTTTAGATTCATTAGTTTTTAATTTAATTTAATAATAAAAAAAAGATGCTGTGGACATTTGTATTTAAGAAACAGACAAGTTTCCCAGTAATATATTTTTATGAAGATTTTACAAATTTAATCAAATTATATATATATATATATATATATATATATATATATATATATTATACATGCACATACCTATATATATATATATATAATATATATATATATAAATATATATATATATATATGTATATATATATATATAGGTATGTGCATGTGTATGCGTGTATATGTATGTGAAAAGTGTGTGTATATGGATATAGATGAATATGTGTATGTGTGGATATGTGAATATATTTTTATATTTTTATGTGTGTACATGTATGTGTGTATGTGGGTACACGCCTATGTGTATGTATATACATGTATATGTTATTGTGTGTATTCGCATGTGTTTTTGAACATAGAAATATAGGTCCTTGCTAGCTTAGATAATCGTTATATTTATCTTTATATATTTATATTTGATTTGTAATCTGTAGTCGATATTAAATTTGTAAAATTTTCTCAATTACAAAGCGGCCCTTTAAGTAAACGCAATTTTACTTTCCTTCGTCCCATCTCTCTCTCCCACCTCGTCTTTCCCTCCCTCTTATTCTAACATTAGATTGTCTATGGTGTGTGTATGTCACCACGAAATGTATCTTTATGCATTAGACATCCGACAAAATTCATTTTTCTCTTACTTAAACCCCTTCCACCCATCTCTCCTAAAATTCTCTCTGTTAAGGTTTAATCTCCCTCCTCCTCATACTTAAACTCTCTCTAAATTCTGTTTTTATTTCCGGAGTTGTTTTTTTTCTGTTTTCTTTTTGAATTTGTAGGTCTGATGAATTGGATCGTATTTACGATTCCAATGGAATAAATTATGACCATGGAATATTAGTGTTTAAGCCTTTTTATTATATCCTTACTCTGTCCTAGACATTGAGTTCTACCTGGATTCTTCCTCTTGGAATTTTTATTCTAAAAATATACATGTATGGGTATTTATATATTTTGCATATGTATGTATATTTTCCACTAATATTATCTATCTATCTATCTATATATATATATATATATATATATATATATATATATATTAAAAAATGTTTTATTTTTTCTGTTTTTGGTCGCAGTCTGAAATATCCTTGAAGGATTAGGGTTTTAATATTCTAGATTTAATATAATTTATCAATAATAATTCATTTTTAGTATATTTTTTGTCAACGTGAAAGTATGGGCTTATTGTTTTTGTATGCTCATTTAAACAATAAGCAGATCGCTTTCACTTGCATGTTCGAAGTTGTTAAAGTAGTTCGTCAGTGTCCGGTATTTTGGGGGTTTATTTTGTTTTACGGCATATCAACATCTCAATGGGTTATTTAATACCGACAAGATTTTTAGGAGATGTCTGTGTGACTAGAATATGTATCGTTTTGGCGTATTTGTGTAAAGAGGGTTGCATTAGCTTGTTGACTGTTTGTTTTCTTTAGCAGCATATCAACACCTCTATGGGTTTTTTTTAATGCGGAAATCTAAATAATTTTGAATGCAACTTTATGGCTTCAACTGAATCTATTTTATACATAATTTTATACTTTTCGAATAACAGAAAATTATTTTTTACATATATACAGTATTTTGTAGATCATAAAATGCATTGATGACAATTTTACTATAAAAATGTATTTTTATATTTTTTAGTATTGTATTGATTGTCATTTTGATATAAAATGTATTGTTGCTAATTTTACTATAAAAATGTACTTATTCGCAAGGGTATTAGCACGTAAGTGAATGTAATGCATTCGACTGGAATTCGAACTCGGCTCTTTGATTTCCCTGATTTTTTCTCGGATTGAGGAATCGGAGAGCCAAGTTCAATTCCAGTCGAATCCATTACATTCACATGCTAATACCCTTGGCAAAGGCATGAATCCTCTTCTTCTCCCTCAGCTATGGGTAAATAGCAGGACACACCGTGTTCTATAGTCTTGGATGGTAAATGGTCTACCGCAGAAAGAAATGGCAACCTACTGCAGGAAAAAAATCTGCCTCGTCAGTCATGTATCGAAAGATACATGATCGCATGGCACATAAGTGACTGACTTATTTTTATTTGGGAGTTCAGTATTTGCCCATAGCTGGGATCCTAACAGGTGCTACCATCTTCCTCAAAACCTAATCTCACGATCAGAGGCCTTTCTGCCAGATGTAGTTTATTGTCATACCTAGGACGCCGGTATTTGTACTTTTATGTCTGTTATATAAAGCACGCTAATAATTTTTAGTTCCCTTTTGCTTATTCTCCTTTCCGTTTATAAAAACCTGGGTTGATTTTGTGATCTGCAGGAAGAAAAAGCATCAACTATTTGGTAACTGATTGGTTGATGCTCTAAACTGACGTCACAAAACAGTTTTCTGTCAACACACCCTTTACTTGTCCTTTCAATTTTAAAGAAACATAACAATGCCTTTCTCTTCAATTTCGAGGAAATTAATCTTGAGTATTTATTTCTTTTAAATAATACAAGCTTTTGAATTTAAACATTTCCTTTTAATTTTTAAAAACGATTACGGTCATATATGTTGGCTTATGAAAAGTGTGACACCATTTACCAAGGCAAAAAGAAAAGAAAGGAAAAGAGAGGCGAGACCCAAAGCGTGGATGATAAGTAGAACACCCACGACTAAGAGACAATGGATAAAGGATATTTTGATAAGTAACAAATGGCGAAGAGTGTCATTACAATGGCAAAAGAAAAAAATTCTAAGTGGATAAGGGAATCAGGTGTGTTCTGGCGACGGGCTGGTGTTATCGGGGATACATAAACAAGCCGCTAATGCGGGAAGGCATCTGATTGG